AAGAAAGTGAACTATTATTAATAAAATCCTTCTTCTTCTTTTTCGATAGGATTAAAATACTTGGAAATTGTTTAAACATTTTCCAATAATAAAATGATGGGGCGGACCTTGATCACCACTAAAGGGAGATTGAGTTTTTCCATTTATAAAGATGCCATCAAGAAAGGAAAGAGATTTCCTTGAATCAAAAATTGATGCAATGGTTGCAAACATCAAGACTTGGAAAATTAACTACAATTTATTGAAAACCATTAGAGCATGACAGGCATGTAAATTTCATGTAGGAACCATTCTTCTAGTCACATTTCAAAGTAAATTAACTCACTAGTATTAGACAAGGAGAGACTTTGGGATAATATTTTCATTACCTTTAAAAAAAAATTGTTGAATTGGTTTTAGAACACAAACATTATCTAAAATAATGTATTCCTAGTTATTTAACAAATGCACACTGCCAATGCCATTATTTTCAAAAAATTTCAGATATATACTAAAAACTAAAATACTTAAGTAGACATGAAGAACATGAACTCGTAAACGCAGAATTGTGTCATCTATATACAATAAAATATAGATTTCCTCACCTTATGGCTAGTCTTGTACCAATCACCAATAAGTAAAGAAAGATCCGCTGCAGGTACAGGATATGGTACAGGGATCACAGATCTTGCATATACATTTATGTGACAACCCTCACCTCTGATTAGCGTTAAATTGTGATTAAGCATGATGAGTAATTGATTAGACGAAATCCTAAGTTGATTACATGAGTGTGTCGTTTTAAATACATTTTTATCTGTTTGTTAATGAATGATCTGTCCATATTTTAATTTCGAACTACGAATTAAAAGCCTTATCGGCAACCGATTCAGAAATTGTTTAGTGTTATATGTTAATTAGGAATTATATGATTTTATGGTAGGTTTGATTAAAATTCAATTTGGAATGATTAAATTAGAATAAATAATGCTAGATTAATTGAATATAGGTTATTTACACAATTGCCACTAAGTGGATTAATTCAAGGCCAATTCTTCTCACACTTTACACATGTTTGACACACCATTCTTCATCCATCTTCTTGACAAAAACGTGAGAGAGAGTTGGAAGGAAAATTGATCCAACAAGAGTTTGGCTTGAAATTTAGAAGAATTTGAAGGAGACTTGAGGAATTAGGCTTCTACATTTGGAATTCAAGACTTAAGGTAGGAAATTCATTCCCTTAATTATGAATTTACGTTATTACATGCATGGTTCATGGGAAAATTGATGATTAGAGTCAAGAATTAGCTTAAAGTGTTGATTTGAGAGTGAATTCATACACACATGTTCATATTTTAGTTGTGGTCCAAGAATTCACCATGTTTTAGAGTTCAATCTTGCATTTGATTATGTTTTGGAGCATTAGAGTTCATGAGAACTCATGCATGTTATGTTCTTGCATTGTTCATGAAAGTTTCATTGGAATTGTGTTCAATTGACATACTTTTGGGTTTTGATTTTATAAAATGATCTTCAAAACACGTTGTATTATGAGTTTCTAAGTATTTTCCAGAAAATTGGCCTAGAAAAATCGAGTTTGAAGCTTTAAGAGTTGAGTTTTGTGCTTGAGGATCAATTTGGAAATTCCAGATTTTTTATCCACGCTCGAGCGGAAGACTTCACGCTCGAGCGTACACTCTGAGTGCATGCACTTCCGTTCGAGCATTGATAGTCACGCTCGAGCGTGAAATACATATGCCCAGAAGTTCATGTGTTTTGTAATCCGCTTGAGCGAGATAATCCGCGCTCGAGCAAGGGTCTGAGTCTCACGCTCGATCGTGGGTCGAGCATCCATCGAGCGTGAAAAACGTACAACTAGTACTTTTTCCTGAGTTTGTAGTCCACTCGAGCAGGGGAAGTCACGCTCGAGCGGAGCTTCTTTGTCTGCATGTCCGCTAGAGCGGAGAAAGCCACGCTCGAGCGAGACCCCTGTTTTCAGCAAATTTTGAAAAGTGTTTTAAAGTGTTTTTTTGTATCCTCATTCCATCCTAGGCATTCCTAGGCCATGTTTAAGGCATCTTAATGAGGATAATGTTATAGAACCACACCAAGTCAAGTTAAGGGGCTAAGTTATTAATCCCGAGTGTGTAATTTAGTGTGTGTTCGTTCTGTAACTGTGTAGGGTTGGCACCCGAGGACGCTGATTAGAAGTTCTCTACCATGGTTGGTTCGAATATTAGTAATAAGAAAGTCTTTTTCATTTTGAATTCTATGACAGAGTTTTGTGAAAGAAGAAAATGTTTCATCTTTGTATGCTAAAAACATAACCCATGTAAATCTTGAATAATCATCAACAATAACAAGACAATAATGTTTACCACCTAGACTAGATGTCCTTGAGGGACCAAATAAATACATATGCAATAATTTTAAAGGTCTAGTTGTGAAAATATGAGATTTTGATTTAAATGATGTTTTAGTTTGTTTTCCTTATTGACAAGCATTACAAAGATGATCTTTTTCAAATTTAATTTTTGGAAGTCCAATGACCAAATCATTTCTCAAAAGTTTAGCAATTAAATCTATATGAGCATGACCAAGTCTTCTATGCCATAACCAACTATTTTCATTATTAACATATAAACATTTAACGTTACTAGCATAGAGATCATCAAGATAAAAAACATAAACATTATCATGAAGATTACCAACAAATAAAGCTTTATGATCATTCGTGCTTTCAATTGTGCAATGTGATTTATCAAAAATAACTCGATTACCTTTATCACATAATTGACTAATACTAAGTAGGTTATGCTTAAGTCCATCGACAAGTAAAACATTTTTAATAGAAGGGTTAGGAGAAATACTAATGCTACCAATACCGATGATTTTTCCTTTCTTATTGTCTCCAAAAGTAACAAATCCTCCATCTTTGGATGATAGTTTAGTAAAGAAGGATTTATATCCGGTCATGTGTCTGGAATATCCACTATCAAGTTACCACTTCCCTTCTTTAACTTTGGACTTAAAGCAAACCTACAATATGACAATCAAGTGTTGGTTTTTGGTACCCATAGTTTCTTGGGTCTTTCTTGGTTAGTTTTGTTAGATCTCTTAACAATCCAAATCTTTTTGATTCCCATGTTTATATTATTTTGAATGGACAAGAAGATATATAATGGCCTTTCTTTCTACAATAATGACAAGTAATATGAGGATGAGTCATGAGAGGTGCCTTTTCAAAAATTGTATTGAGATTCTTTTATTTTTTAATAGAGTCATATCCAATGCCTGCCTTATTGAAAACACATCTTTGATTTCCAAGAAGCATGTTAAGATTATATCTACCTTTTATAAAATTTTCAAGTGTTTTTGTTAAATCATCAACATTATTTTGTAAAGCAGTTTTCTCATTAGAGATGATGTCAAAATCATTTTTCAAAACAATTTTTTCTTTCTTTAATTCTTCTACATTAATAAATAAAAATGCAACAAATTTCTTTAACACATTATTTTTGGCACACACTTTTCTAAATTCATCTTGTAGTTCATGGAATGCACTTTCAAGTTCTTCATAAAGAGTAGTTACCTCATCTTGAGTAGAGTCCTCATCTTCAAGAGCCATGAGACATGAGTTGGCTACTTCATTTTCAATTTCATCACTTGAGCTTTCATCTTCACTTTCTCCCCAAGCTGCTACCATGGCCTTTTTGTTTCTTTTGTAGTCTTTTCCATGATTCTTCAATTTTGGACAATCCATCTTCATATGTCCAGGATTTTTGCACTCATAGCAAATTATAGGCTCTTTCTTGTTATCCTTGTTGTACTCTTTCTTGAAAGGTCTTCTTCCTCCAGAATTGTTTTTCTTGAAATATTTTTTGAGATTTCTACTAAACATGGCATAGTTTCCATCCTCACTAGAATTTTTATGTTCTTCTTCATTTGATGAAGCTTTGAATGCAATTCCACTTTTCTTTTTTTTTTTCAACATCCTCATGTCCTTTCATGGTGATCTCATGAGTCATAAGGGAACCCATAAGCTCATCCAATCCAAGTGTTGAGAGATTTTTGGCTTCTATAATGGCCGTGACCTTTGCTTCTCAATTCTTTAGTAAGCACCTAAGAATTTTTCTTACCAACTCACTGTTAGTATAAGTTTTGCCAAGAGATTTCAAAGAGTTTACAATTTCAGTAAATCTAGTAAATATACTTGAAATAGATTCATCAGAATTCATTTTAAACAATTCATAACTATGAATAAGCATATCAATACGAGATTTCTTCACTCGGTTTGTCAAAAACCCTTATCTTCTTTATGTTAACAAATTATTTAGGGTTATTTACACCAAGGCTCCTCAATTATTAGTAGATATTACTTTATCTTTTTTATCTATGAATCCGTATGTTTTTTCCCCTCAAACTATGAAATTGTATCATTTTCATATAACGTTGAAAATGAGCCGTGTTGAGTCAAATAACAGGTTATTCAAGCTTGATTTGTTTACCTAACAGACCAATCTCAAACAAGATTTTAACGAGTCAAACACAAGTCAAACTAGATTAGCTTGATTTTTTATGGTACAAGTAAATTTATCGGGACAAATAGTAAATTGTTCAACCTCGGCTTAAAAACTTAACGACTTTAAAATTGTGTTCAAATTTAACTTATTTACCTAACGTGTCGATCTCAAACAAACTTTTAACAAATTAAACATGAGTCAAATAGATTGGTTTGTTTGACACCCTTACTTTCACCTCATACGCCCCTTTATGAGGTGGTACACCGACTATAAAAATGTATATCACTTTATTTTCAATTTTATCAAACACTACCTAATACCTACCCTTTATGCTTTGTGATGGTTTACTTTGACTGCCTTTAATCTTATGTTTTTCATTTTTACAAATTCAACATATTTTTGTGGTGTAATTAATGTAAAGGTTAAAAATTGTGGATTGTTCAGGCAATAGAGCATGGGATATCAAGTTCATTCTTGGATGAGATAACAAAAGTGGCAAGGGAGTTCTTTGAACAGCCTATGGAAGAGAAGAACAAATACTCAAAAACAGTTGTAGATTTTGAAGGGTATGGTGCTGACCCTGTCCCTGAACAAGGCCAGCCTCTCGACTGGTCTGATCGTTTATTTCTTGATGTGTGCCCTCCAGATCAAAGGAAGCTCCAATTTTGGCCACAAACCCCAACTTCTTTCAGGTGGATATCTATATATACACGGGACGGTTTGCTACTTGTGGCTTGTCATTTTTTTTCCCGTATTTTGCTCTTAGTTTATTTTGAAATTGCTATTTGGCCCTTCAATTTGGTTGGTGAAACAATTTGAGTGTAATTACGCAAACATTCTTGGTCAATTATGAAACATAAATTTTTTTAGCTTTTAATAAATTATAAATACATCCATAAGGTTTGTTTAAAATATGAATCAGTCTTATAATACTAGAAAATACAACTATCGTTTGTTATAAATTTTAATTGGATAAATTACATTAACACCGCCTGAGATTTATATTTATTACAGTTTCACCCCTCACCTTTTGGAAATTACATCCCCTCCTTGAGGTTTAAAGTTTCATTACTGATTGGTCCCTCCAGCAATTTAATTTTTTTAAATACCAATTTTGCCCACACTGGATAAATTACATTGACACCCCTCACATTTTAAAAATTACAATCCCCTCCCCAAGGTTTAAAGTAGCATTATCAAATGGCCCCTTAGTTAGTATTAGATGAAAAAAAAATCATTGAAAAAAAAAATTAATTGGAAAAAAAATTATTTGAAAAAAAAAATATTTGTTAGTCAAATTTTTAAATTTCTATTTAAAAATCAACATAAACTCATTTTTTGAAATTTATGTTTTTTTCTTAAATTTACAAACTGAGACAACCATTTATAAAACAAAAATATTATCAAACATATTTTTATGACAATTTTTAAAATTTTTGCAAATATAAATTGAAAACTGAAAACGAAATGGTTACCAAATAGGCCTCAGATGGTAAAAATATCGTAAAATTAACAAATAATTAAATAAGTTATCAACGTAAGAAATGATTTATCAAAGATTCTTAGGCTATGTATGGTTTGATTTTTAGAAAAAAAAAATTAAATTAAAAATTAATTTGGTTAAGAAATTAAAAATAAAAAATAATTATCATTTTTATATAATTTTTATCTTTCGAGTGTAATAAACATAAACCTCAGGGGGGTGTCAGTATAATTTTTATCTTACGTTGATTTTTAAACAGAAATCTAAAAATTTGACTAAAAAAATTCTTTTTCAATTAATTTTTTTTTCAAATAATTTTTTTTCCAATTAATTTTTTTCTCAATGAATTTTTTCTAACTGATACTAACCGAGTGGATAATTGGTAATGCTACTTTAAACCTTGGGGAGAGGATTATAATTTCTAAAATGTGAGGGGTGTCAATGTAATTTACCTAGTGAGGGCAAAATTGGTATTTAAAAAAATTAAATTGCTAGAGGGAGCAATCTGTAATGAAACTTTAAACCTTAGGGAAGGGGATGTAATTCCCAAAAGGTGAGGGGAGGAACTGTAATAAACATAAATCTCAGGGGGTGTCAATGTAATTTACCCATTTTATTTAACACAATACTTAGGGGGGGGGAAAAAAAAACTATTTTCCAATGTAATAATAAATTATTAAAATTGTTTATTGAAAAAAAAATCTCATTTCATTAAAAACCATTAATTGACTCAATGATTTATTTATTAAAAAATGGTTACCTGAAAATATTTTCCATATCATTAAAAATAATTAATTTACTTAATGATTTATTTACTAATAAAATTGGTTATTTCTTATGAAATGATTTATATATTAATAAAATTAGTCATTTATATATAGATGTATTTTCTTCTACTTCTTTATCAGTTCGGTGAATTATCTTAGTAGTTTTTTTAAGATGTGAGAATTATCTTAGTATTTATTTTATATTTATGTGTTGAGAAAAGTTACACAGATAAATTTATTTTTTTTTAATAAATTCAGAAAAAATGTTAAAGCCTTATAAATTCACCCAAAATGATATGGTAATAGAATTTGGAGTTTTTTTTTTTTTAAATATTCTAAGAAAAAAAAACAATTTAAAGAATTGACGTACTTTTCAAACTATTTGGAAAATAACCTGCTTTTTGAAATCGCATTTTGAAAATGCAGTTTTAAATTGAAATCACATGTTGAAAATGCAATTTTATGATGACATGGACTGCACTATGATCTATTGCATTTTCAACATGTAATTTCATGCATGTTGAAAATGTGATTTTCAATTTTGAATTTGTATTTTCAAAATACGATTTTAAAAAGCAAGTTAGTTTCCCAAATAGTTTGAAAAGTTGGTCAATTCTCTAAATTATTATTTTTAGAATATTAAAAAAAAAAAAACCCATAGAATTGGAGTCTACATCATTAGATGTATAACAAATCAAGAAATAATACATATCATACCATATAATTCTATCATATATCTAATGATTTATTCTATTCAATTTCATAAAACAATATTCTAATATTTAAAAAATTATCAAAATACAAAACTTAAATATACTATAATAATAACGCATGCTATGCACGGGCCATTGTAAACTAGTATATATATATATATATATATCAGCCGGCAATCTTAACTCCGATAAATTAATATTAAATGTAACAATGATATCAACTTATATTCATTTAAGTGGTGTCGCTGATATGTGAGCAAGCGTTATTGCATAACTATGCATTACTTTTGATTCATGTTTGAGTGTTTTGAGTTGCATAATTCAAAGTATTTCAAGTATTAATGAAATTAATGCATCTTCTTCTTTTTTTTAATCAAAGAAATTTCTATTAAAGTAAAGATTGCCAAACGGCACGTACAAGGAAATCATCAAAAAGCTTATACCAAACTAAGAAAAAAAACCTTGTGCAAAATAAAGGAAAATCCCCAAAAGAAGTAGATCATAAAAGCTCAATGCTAGAATAAGTCAAAGATAAATTCATGGGCTATATCTAAACTGTGTGGGTAAGCTGTGAACACACCAAGAAGTAAAAAAAACAAAAACACAAACTCTTAAACCCATAACTACCAGCCAGCGACTGTGACAAACCGACTGTGGAAAGTGACCGAACTGGGGAACAAAGGCAATAGATTTGGCCAAAAAAGAATGCGAACATGAGGCAATAGTAGCCGAACAGGAGACACACAATATGGAGGCTTGTTGGAAAAATTGGTTTATTTGGCTTATTTTGGGCTGACTTTGAGCCCAAAATTGAGTGGGCCCCAAACGTCTTTTGAGGTAGGTCCAAAAAGGTGAAGTGTTCCTTGCTGCGTGGCAAGTCAAACGGTGAAGACGGTTCGCCAAAACCATTTATGAGTGAATGGGAACATAACGTCGTTTTCGGGTTCGTGGAATAAGAAATTTAAGGAAGTAAATGTGGGTTTCTTTGGAAAGGGTTGTCCTACATTGAAACTTTAAGAGAGTTTTGTTGAGTTTATAAGCTTTAGCTTACAACACTTGGGTTGAGCCCCAAGTGGCACCCCAAGTTTGTAGAAGGGAGGAGTTATGGACAAAGTGAACCTTAGCCCAAACCACCACACACGCGCGCGCGCCGCCGCCTTCTGTTCGGGCACGGGTATAGGTCGAGACAAAATTCATTAGAATTTTTTCAAAAAAATTATTGCGAGAAATTAATTCAAAATTTGAATTCTACATGTCTAGTTCGAAATTCAAACAAGTTTTCAATCTGTTGGACAGATTCAATTTCATAACAGTTACAGATTCGAATTAGTAACTGTATCTGTTAGTTGTAGATTCAAATATGTCCGAAACTGTACAGCAGTTACAAACAGATCTGTTTGAATTTCAAACAGAATCTATCCAATTTGAATTCGCACCTATTCACTTCAAATTAGCACCTATTCGGGTCAGATTTTTTGCCTATAAATACCAACATTCCAGCAGTATTATTGGATCCGAAAAATCAGTCTGCAACTTTCATATTGTTGTCCAGAATTTACTCCTTTGTATTTTAATCTTCATTCTAGTTTTAGAGATAAAATAAAGAGAGTATAAGAACACAAGGTTCTAGTTCGCCGTACAAATTTGTGTGGAGTGGTACTACAAGTTTGTGAAGATCATTGTATCCTGGGAGATAGACGCCACTCAACTGTAAGCACCGTAACGGGGCGAATCTGTCTTAAGGATAGAGTGTCACACACTCGACTTGGTCTTTTATTTTTTATTCGGTTGGATAAAATAAATTTTGTAAGTTATTTATTTTATTTATTTGTTTCGATTTCATTTTATTTTATTTACACAGAAGATTGTTCCAACAATCTTAAGACAGATTAGAATTATTCTGTTTACAGAATTTTTCGTTTGTTTCCTTTTCTCTTTCTTCTTTTAAGAAAATTATTTTCTATGAATTTACAAAATAATATTCTGGTTGGAAAAACAAATAGTGATTATATGCTATTTGACAGATAATAGTAATATACTGTCTATTTTCTTTGACAACTAGTAGTAATATACTGGTGTCATTAACAATTCAGAATATATTTTTGTAAAAATTTTTCAGAAATTAATTTTGATTTTTAGAAATTATTTTCTAAGTTTTCATTAATTAAAATTTTGTTTCAGTATTTTAATTATTAAAGTGTTACAGAAATTTAATTTTCTGTTTGGAATTAATTTGTTTAAATAAAATTTTATTTTATTTCCAAATTGATTGAAAAATAAAAGTTACATTTTTTGTTTCTTTTATTTTTACAGAATTTAATTCTGTGAATTTGAATTAATTTTCTGTGTAGTATAAATTCTAATTATAAGTTTGTTTTATAATTTAGAATTAATGGCTACTGAAATAAATGCTCAAACAAGTACTATTGTGGTGGCGGCAATTACGCCAAATCCCTCTCCTGTTGTGACAGTACCGGTAAATCACAGTGAGAAGTTGTAGACACCCCATTTTTGACCGACCTTAAGACTCAGACGTCATCGATTGAGCGCTCGGTGATTGCGTATGTTGTGCTCGCTTTGAGGTTTCGGAGTTCTTGGCCGAAAGCCTCACCTCTGGACCTCGGGACTCTTTGTACTTTGACTCGGTTTGCGGACTAAGTCTTGTTTTCTATTCCCGGAGGGATAGAGAGGTCTTGTAGACCATCTCTCAGTGGTCGTAGACTACTTCT